GGCTGCAGCCTACCATGTGGTACGTGGTGGTGTGTAAGACTCCCCATAATGGCAAGGGTAAATAATCAAGGGCTTGTGTATACCATGTTTATGTAGTGTGAAAACATAATACTGTAGAATACTTTATTTTCGCTTGGAATTTATTTTTGCTATTTTCGCTGAAGGGATGATTCCGTGAAAATAAAATCCAGCAAATATACTTTTTAGTCCCCGTTCGGACGCAGTCCGAAAACGGGGACTTATCTTTTGACCTCCGTGTGTCTGTGCGTGCGTCCGGACCTGTATCTTAGAAATGCCTGAACCAATCACAACCAAACATAACACATACATCATACATGATATTATACATATGCACGTCAATTTGTTTCACGATCTGATTCAAGATGGCCGAATGGCGGCCATTTTTGTGATAAAAATCATCAAAATCAAGCATTTTTCAGCTGTTTACAGATGGATTTTGTTCAAAATTGGTATATATGTTAGACATTATAGGACCTTGATGCACATCATTTTGTTTTACAATCTGATTCAAGATGGCCGAATGGCGGCCATTTTTGTGCTAAAAAATCATAAAAATCAAGCATTTCTCGGCTGTTTACAGATGGATTTTGTTCAAGCTTGGTGTATACATCAGACATTATGGGACCTTGATGCAAATAATTTTGTTTTTCAGATTAGATTCAAAATAGCCGACTGGCGGCCATTTTGTTTTAATGAATGTGGTTCTCGTGCCATATGTCTGACTTGCTTTCACTGATTATGTTCAAATTTTAAATATTCATTATACATCATGTCATAGATAGACAGATATATTAGTTTGACGATCCTATTCAAAATGGCCGATTGGTGGCCATTTTTGTGCTAAAAAAATCATCAAATATCAAGCATTTCTGGCATTTATAGATGGATTTTGTTCAAACTTTGTACATATATTAGACATTACAGGTTTCTGATGCACATCATTTATTTTTCAGATCAGATTCAAAATGGCTGTCTGGCGGCCATTTTGTTTTAATGAATGGGCTTCTAGAGCCATATCTCTGACTTGTTTTGACTGATTATGTTCAAATTTTAAATATTCATTATACATCATGTCATAGATAGACAGATATATTGGTTTGACGATCCTATTCAAAATGGCCGAATGGTGGTTATTTTTGTGCAAAAAAATCATTAAATATCAAGCATTTCTGGCATTCATGGATGGATTTCGTTCAAACTTGGTACATACATTAGACATTACGGGTTCCTGATGCCCATCATTTTATTTGTCAGATCAGATTCAAAATGGCTGACTGGCGGCCATTTTGTTTTAATGATTGGGCTTCGAGAGCCATATCTCTTAAATGCTTTGACTGATCATTTTCAAAATTTTATATATTTGTTATACGTTATGTTATATATATACATGTATTCAAAATGGTTGATTTTGAATGCTGTTCCAGTACTTGTTTGACGATCAGATACAAATGTCAATCATTTTAATGTTAAAAAATCAATATTCCTGACATGGTTATATTCCAGCCTATATTACTATAAACAAAACTATATATCTTAAATTTGATAACTAACAAGGACTGTGCCATGCATGGCTTG